TCAACTGATGGACTTCTTCTCTAAGCACTCTCTGATCCTGAAACAAAACTTGCATGTCCGTCATGAATTGTCCCATTTGGCTTCGGATTCCCCTCAACTCTTCTCGAATTTGTTCCATAGTTGTCTCTGTTGATTTTCTTTTGGTGGAATGATCTTCAATTCTGATACAAGCCGGATGGAAAACCACATGAAGCAATTACGTCCACAAAATTAGAACACCTCTATGCAAATGAATAATGATGCAATATGCAAGACATGCAAAGAAATGCAAATGAATATGCAAATGCAACAGGGGATCAAACGTTGTTGTGTTGTTGACGGTGACGGACCAGCGCTTCGCCTTGAGACCAAACAACATTAGTACAAGGAACCCACTGTAACTGTTCATACTGACAAACGGATAGGATGAAGGTCAAAATTTTTCCTGCAAGACAGCACAACAAGATACCTCTCACCTCGGGTGAGCAATCTATTGGTTTAAGAGGGTATTCCAAAGGCTTTTCAAACAAAGTCCCATGCACTAACCCTCAAAAGTTTCCCATCATAACGACTACTCGTAAGACGGTAATCCCTTCAAAAGGATGAACACAGAGTTATGTTTTAGCAACCTTCGGAATAAAGGTTCTACAAAAGGTCCTCAGAATCGCGGACTCTCAAGTTGAAAATAAGAACGCCCTTACGACTACACGTAAGACATTATTATTCCAACGGAGTCTCATCTGAGCGGTGAGATTCAATCCAACTCAACGAGTCCTAAGTCTCGCAAATCAGAAAGAAACCACCTCCTAACTTAGTGTATACTTGAAAGCTCGGGTAGAAAGCTTTATCCTCACAAACCATCCCAATAAACCCAACAGGTAGAGAATAAATCACAAAGCAAATTAAAGCAAAAAACAAAACACAAACACGACAAACAAATTAGGCTTGGCTCGCTAGGACTTCCCCAGCAGAGTCGCCAGTTGTCGCTACTCGAAAAATGCATCGCGCAACGACGGGGAGGCGAAAAAGATAGACAGAAGAGTCGCCACCGAACTTTATTTATCCCACGAGGGGAAAGGAAAATATCGAGAAAACCTTAAGAAAGAAATGGATAAGATGGTCTTGCAACCAAGAACGGGTTCGGAAGCCGGTTATGCGAAGGGAAGGTATTAGCACCCCTCGCATCCATCGTACTCGATGGGAACCTTTTGTTTGTCGATGTGTGAATTATTTGCTTAAATATTATGCTATAAAAGTGTTCCACGGGGTAAAAGAAGGGTTAGAAACAAGAAAGTTAGGAGGAAAGAGAGAACAGGGAAGAAAAGAGAAAGAACAGACTCGGTAGGACTTCGCAGTCCTATGCCTACGTATTCTCAATAGATGTGAGAAAGTCAGAGTCGACGTAGTTCGGGAAACTACGGGTGATGCGGGATTGTGCTCGGCAAGGATTGTGGCCCTTGTGCCTACGTATCTTTACTTAAAAGAAGTAAAGAATCAGAGCAGCCGTAGTTCGGCCTACGGTTTGCTGATGTATTTTATGGATGATGCTATCGTGCGCATTCTAGCAGTTAGGGGTTTCGCTGCTCGCTCGTTGGAGACTTAGGCGTTGCCTGTTTGCGGTAGAACGGACGTAACATATCTTTTTGAAAGATTAGGTTTTCGCCAGACGAGGCAAGATGTCACATTTGATTGATTGGGTTGTTTTTTAGGGAGCGAGACAGGTCCTCGGATAGTAACCCCTACGGGTAGTACCCAATTCTTTATCTCAAAGTTTTTGTTATAAAAGGGTGTGGTGAACGAGGCGTCTCCGTATTGAAAGACGAGCATCGAAACCACCCTCACTACAGTAGGCATCCCAATACTCGGAGAGGAAGAAAGACTACACTTAATCCTCTCTCTTTAATTCAATGCAAAGAGAACTTCGTTCTCTTATTAATGATGTTTTTGGTTTTGAATGGTAAGTGCTTTGCGACAGAGAACCCTACGGTAAACGTCAGCACTCGGGATAGGAGAAGGCCTACGCCTAACCACTCCACGACCATTCAAGTTTTGTTATGAAAATGATTTGAAAATGCACTCGGTGCGAGACCGAGGTTTTAGGCGACAAGGGTTACGGGAGGAAGTTGTGAAAGTGAGAGATGGTGGATAAAGTCGCGTCTTCGTATCGAAAGACGAGTATCGAGACCACCCTCACTACAGTGGGCATCCCATCACTCAGAGAAGAAGAGGTCTACACCCAATCTTCTCTCTTTAATTCGATACAAAGAGAAATCAATTTATTATTGAAAGTAGACTCGGTACGAGACCGAGGTTTTATGAGGAAATGTTGGAAGCGCCTTTGTATTGACAGCCGAGCATCGAGACCACCCTCACTATAGTGGGCATCCCTACGCTCGAAGAAGAAGGGGTCTACACCCAATCCTCTCGTTTAGTTCAATACAAAGATGATTTTGAGGATTGTTTGACAATGTTTTTGAATCGAGTCGGGACAAGAAGCGAGGAGAGAAAAAAGGTGGTCTCAGATCCAACATTACTTGTCAATAATTTGACTGGTAATGAATTACGGAGGTCTCGACCAAAAAAACAGAAAATGGGACAAAGTGTCCAATAACAAACGCGAAATAAAATGCTATAAACTTTTAAATGTAAATTGAAATGAAATTCTAAAAAAAACTATAACATAAAATATGATATAACAAATTTAATATAAACTAGAAAGTAATATAAAGTTCTAACAATATATATAATATTAAAATATATATATAAAATAAACAAAACAGTTTTTTTTTTTTAGAAAAAAGATAATTTACAAAATAAATATACAAAATAATAATAATAATAATAATATATAATGAGAATAAAAAAAAAGAAACAGAAAGAGGAGATTATGTGGATACGGACCAAACAGGCCTGAAGCCTATCTCTCCAAAGAAAATATGGTCATAAGGTCTTTTCTTCGAAGCACACAAAGGAAACTTATCCGTTCAATTCCAGAAGAAACATCATCAAGCATAACCACACACCTACTGAATGAAACGAAACATTTCATACCTTACAGACAAAAAGAAGCCGTCGATCAACAATAATCAACATGGTGAATCATCTCCGCCTTCGTGTAAACTCGTCACACTCTTGCTCAATCGTGTCTCGCCCAGGTTTAGGCTACGCCGTTCTCAATTTGGATTCATTTTTGATTTCGTCTTTTTGCGTTTCGAACTCTCTCCTTCATCTCTTCTCACTCTGTTGTGTAGAGATGTTTGAGTGGATTGGAGGTTGGTGGTTGATTGTCGAGTTATGGAATTCTTTCTACGGTATCTGAAGTGAGAAGTTGAGAAGTAAAACCGAACCCAACGACAGGAGTTCTCGCGAGAAGAAAATGGAGTTGAGAAGTTACGAGGAAAGATGTTGTTATGGATTCAAAATGAAGTTGGTGTGAAGGAGATGAAGAAGAATATGAGCAATATGAATGGAAGGGATGGTGTTTTAGGTTGTGAATTTGGGCGGTTGTTTATGGTATTTACAACCTCGCCTACCACATGTTTGATGGAAGTACAGTTATGGCTTGGATGGTTGTTGAAAGGTTCTCAACATTGATGCGAAAAAACTCGCTGTGATGAACATATTGACCGTAATGTCAACAGAGTTTCCATGGCATGACATTTGAGGTAAAACTCTTACCCTGTTTTTCCGAGTTTTGGTTTTTCTATTTCTGTTTATGGAGAGGTTATGGTGAGGAAGATGGAGGAAGATCTGCGGCAAGCTATGCCGGCGAGTTGGAGAAAGAAGAAAGTAGGGCGCTGGGATTTTGGAATGTGAATCTAAAGAGTAAGAGATGTCATTGTTAATTTGATGATGCTGTGAGCTGAGTTTTCTCATGGAGGATCGGCTTCGACGACGTCGGCGGCTGCAGCGGCATCCAGTTTAATCATTGTTGCCCACAACGGTGGATTTAGAGCCTTTGATTCTTGCTCGGTGACGATAGAAGATTGTGAGTTTTTGAGATTGTTGTTTCAGCTTAGTAGCAACAGTTGAGGAATGACAGAGAAAACTCAGACTCGCTTTCAAGGAGGAGGTTGAGGATGAAGTAGCAGGTTTTTTAGGGGAGCCGTTTTGAAGTTGTAATGGTTAAGGTTTATAAAGAATCCATGGAGGTTTGATGTTCTGGAGGTGGTTTGATGGTGTTGAATGGAAGTTGGTTATGTGGTTGAAGAGTGAGTTTTTTTGATGTCGTTTTTGTGTTGTTATTTGAAGAGGTTTGAACAAGTTTAGAATCCCCCCAGAGGTTGGTTGTCTGGCGTGGCTTTGAAGTAGTAGCAGGTTCTGTACCATTTTGGTTTGTGGTAGCAGAATAATGTAGAGTTTGGTCTGGTGTGTGTTTTTGTGCAGTAGTAGCAGAGTTGTAGTATGGTACTGCACGGTACGGTTGTGCAGAAGTTGTCTGGTATGTTGGGTGCAGTAGTGGTTTGCAGCAGGGTATTATCTGTGGTAGCAGAATGGTCTTTTGGAGTTTTGTATTGGTTTTCTTTTGTAGGATCTGATGGAATCAATTTGTGGTTCATTCCTTATTGCAAACTGATATGGTTGTCCTTTGTTTTGTAGGTGCGTATTGCAGAATTTCGAATGGTTCATGGAGTGCAGATATTGATGAAAGGTGGTGATAGCACCTGCTGCGGATGTAGGTCGGTGGGCCAGCCAAGAGCTTGTTTTTTGAGCTGAAGTGTTTTTCTTTGTCTGTTGTGTTAAAGTTTGTGGTCTAATGCGCGTAATGGCTAGTAGCAGCTGTGGCTTGAGGTGATTTGCGTCATACCGTCGTACGCACTGAAATTGTTTTGTGCCTATATTTGCAAATTGCTGCGTAGGACACTCAATATTTGTACGCATTCACCGCTTGTGGGGCGTGTTCAGGATTGTAAGTTTGTGTATGCAGCTGCGGGTACGGTTTATGCAAGTGTGTGGGCTGGCAGGTTTTTGTTGTGTTGTGTATTTTTCTTTTTGAGTCTGACTTGAGTAAAAACTAAATTTCAAGAGCTTCTTTTCAGGTAATGCGCTACCAGAGATCTTTTTCTTGACAGGACCTTGGCACTATCTCTTAAATTCAAGTACAAGTCTATCATGAACATAAATGTCAATCTTTCCAAAAATTCACGATGAATACCACTGGCGTTTAAGATGACAATTTCAACTCTATCCCCAGTGTATATATCTCTCTCAGATGCAGGTGCAAAAACAGTTTTGACCAGATCGACTGCTTCTGTTTCAGACAATGGAGTAACAGCATCCTGAGCAGGCAAAAGGAGTGGGCTGGGGGACTTCAGTTGGTTATCAAGAAAAGGCATAATGAGAGTTGATCCAGAACTCTGAGAGCTATATCCCACCCTCTCATAGGACCCAACAGCATCATATGTGAAGACACGTCCCTTTCCTTCACTGTCAAGGCCGCCCAACACATTGAAAGAATAATAAGGAAAGGAGCGTTTGTAATAAAGTGTGTCTGAAAGCAACTGAGCCATTGCAGGGCAGCTCATTTGCTTGTTGTGTTGGTGCTGATATGTCAAATGTCTAGCAGACAAAACCTTCTGCAAAGCCTTCACATCAGCTTGAAAACCAGAAGAAGCCATAACACATTTCTCAGCTAAGTGGGAGATTTTGGAGTAATCACGAGTGAGGATGTTGTAACCAAAGGACATCCTCGTATCTGCTGCAATCACACGGTAGTCTGATCCGACAACAGCAACACAAGATCCTCCATTGTTGTCATATGGAGACCAATTAGCGTGTTCTTTAGTCATGGCGAATAAGACGTGGTGGAGCAAGGTTGTGATGTGGTTTGTGAAAGATGAGTGGGCATCGTGTACGGCGTACCGAACAACATCAAAAGAAATGTTGCGACTGGTATTTCACCTCATCACTTTTGTTTTCCTTTCTTTTTCCTCTACTCCTTCTCACTGTCCTGATTTTGCTTGTTGCAGAGGTAGCAGAATTGTGGCATGTTGTGTTGGTTTGATTGTCATGCGCGGTACGGCTTTGCAACTGGAAGCTTAGTGGGTCTGTTGCTGCAGAACGGTTGTAGCTGGTACGATTTTGGAGGGGGCCTGTTTTACTTGGCAGATTTTGTCTGCTATTGTTATGGGAAGGTTTTGGAGTGGGAGTGGTAATTTGTTTTGGATTAGCGTGGCTTTTTTTTTTGCAATTTACGACACTATTAGGGAGCACATGAGTTGTATGAGCATGGTAACTGTATTGTCGTTTCGCAGTTGTGCGTATACGACATGAAGGTTTGATTCAGTGCTATGCAGGTGCGCCGGCTTAGAAGCTCGATGACAGGTGGTGGTACGTTTGGTGCAGAGTGCAAGCTTTGAATTTGTAGTGATGATAAACCATAGTTTAAAAGCTTTGTTGTGTAATTTGAAAAAAAACACGTTAGCCCTAAATTGTATGTGTTTGGAATTGTAATTATTCATAGCTTGCACGTAACTTTGAATTTTTCATGGCTTTGCTCAAATAGCTTGACTCAAAATCTTGGACACAATAATCATTGGTTTGACAACTTCCGCTCATGGCTCAAAGACTTGACTTGAAAAAAAAAAAATTCTCATGACTTAAAATCAAATCAAAACATGGCTTGAAATAGTTTATGTCTTGAAAATTTGGATCACATCTTGAAAATGCTTGAAATAAAGCTTGACTAGCCATAATCCCATGGATTTAGACAAATTTGAAATAAGGCTTGCCTTAATTTAAACTTCATGGCTTGAACGTTCATTAAAAATGCCCGATCATAACACTAGAACCAAACTAAATTATGTTTTTAATTTGGAAAACAAAGTTTTGACGTCTCTTGCACTTTGTGACAATCCTTGCGATTTAACTTTGTATTCCATGTACCTTGAAATCTCGTCCATTTGTACTTGTACCTTAAGTTCCTGCCATTTTGACCTTTTTTCAGTTTTATACCAGTCACGTTCCATGGCCTCTACATTACCCCTCCTTCAAGTTCAACAACTTTTGAAACTTCATGTCTTTAAGCATTCCCCAAAAGGTGACTCCATTGAGGAAAATTCAAGTCACGAAAGGCCATATTTGAAATAATCTTGGCGAATTAGTTCCATACATGACCTACCTCTCACATTACTTTCCCGAGTTCTTTTAACAACCATAGTTGATCTTCCACATGTGAAGCCACACACCTCCTAAATTTTTGCACCCTGACTGTGACATTTTTTTGGATTTTTTATTTATTTTAAAATTGGTTAGTGAGTGAAAGTTATATACAGGGTTAGGGCAAATTTTAGGGTGCAACACATATATGTGTAGATATATTACACCAACACCATATAAATCAATCAGATAGTAAACAAATTCATACTATAACACCATATATAACCACATCCCAACACCCGGGAACACACGATCCTACTGATCACTATATACATATACGTTAACTAATTGTCCACCAACAATATTAAGGGAAATGAGTACTATCACCCAGTACACAGGTTAGATCCCACGCTCATCGTCCTTACAATGCATCAAGGCCAGAAAGATCACCCCAGACCAATGCTCAAGGCCAAACATCACCAAAGTCACATTCTGGTTCTGCTACGCTCGCTGGCATTCGCTAGGCGAAGCTTCGCCAATACTCGCCAGGCGAAGCCCAGCGAATGCTGCGATTCACCAACTTCCCCACAGTTCTGCAGTACTATTCTAGGCCAAATCAAACTTATCATCTCAACTCAAATTCTCAGCCTACTCTAGTACCAACCTTGTACATTACCGTAACTAAATCGGTTCCTAAATCTTATTCCTAAAGTCATCGCTTAAACATTCTACCGATGCCTTAAAAGGTCACACAGAATCTCCCTAAAAACCTTAAACCCAGCCTATACGCCAAATTAACCAAAAACAACAATTCATCAACATTGACCTATACTCCATCGCTATCAATTACTAGTTATCATCAAACACAAACACACCATTATACTTACCAATTATCATATACTTCCTACTCTAGAACCAACATTACGGTACATTACCTACACTTCAGAGTTACTCTGAATCTCACCAAGGTCCTAACCAGAGTCACTAACAACATCACAGGGAACAACACATAATTTTCCCAAATTTATAATCATGGTCATTACCAACGCTACAATAACAACACAAAATCTCACCAAAACTCTATTCATAGTTACTATCAACACTGCAGTAACAACATATAATCTCACTAATACCACCATAATATATATATATACCAAATTCACCAATACCAATCAACAATTCATCAATATCAAGCATCAATTTATCATTAGCAAAAACAATAACACGCATGCCAATATAAAACTTCATAGATCGACATTTTCCTACGGGATTAAGGAATCCCCTCTACCCTATACATGTATATATATCATCCCAATCAAGTTTCTCCCCCCTTACCTGGATAATTATTCTGATCGGTGATAAATTCCTCCAAGATTCTTCATCCCTAGCCTTTTCCCTTTCTCTTTGTTCTTCACTTTTCTCTATTCTCCCAATTTCCCTTCTCACGGTTTCTATCGTGCCTTTTCATATTTCCATTCTAACTTCCCCATAACCCTTCCACTTCTTATTTTACTTATTCCAACCACTAATATTCCCAATAATAATTCTAATAATAATAATTATAATAATCATTATAATAATAATAATAATAACAATAATAATAATAATATAATACTATTATAATATTATAGTAATATTCAACATAATAATAATAATAATAATAATAATACACCCAACAATAATTATAATTATAATAATAATAATACTAATGATAATAATAACAATTATATTAATACTAATAATAAAATAATATTAATAATAATAATCTTAATATTAATAATACTAATATAATGTTACTAATATTAATAATACTAATCATAATAATACTATTAATAATAATAATAATAATACTAAGAATATTATTATTATCTCACCAAAATAATAATAATAATAATAATAATAATAATAGTAATAATATTATTATCTCACCAAAATAATAATAATATTAATAATACTAATAAATATAATAATGTATAATAATAATAATAATAATACCCCCACCAATATTACTATTATTCATTATATTATGATATTCACACCAAAAATCATAATAATATAATAACTATATTAATAATAATATTATATTCTCCATATTAATAATATTACTTCAAATATTAATAATAATCATAAATATAATAATAATAATAATAATAATAATAATAATAATAATAATAATAATAATAATAATAATAATAATAATAATAATAATAATAATAATACCACCACCAATATTACTATTATTTCTTATATTATTATAAACTCACCAAATTACCACCAATGATCCTCCCATCTCAGGGACACCCACCAAACATCATCAAATACACCCTACCAAAGGGCACATTAACATATAATATTTAAAATAATAATAAAATGACTAAATAATTAAAATGGGTGTTACAACTCTCCCCCACTTTAATTATTTTCGTCCTCGAAAATTACCTGATGGAAATAATTCCGGATACGCTCCCCGCATCCTTTATTCCAATTCTCAGGTCACACTGCCTTCTGCAGCACCTCCCCATACTACTTTCACCAAAGATATCTCCTCCCTTCGGAGTTGTTCCTCGCTCGCCAAAACGAACTAGCAATGCCTCAACAATCGGAATATTTTTCACTTGTACATCATCCACCTGGTTTAATGTACTTTCTCGACTAAGACACATGAAACATATCATGCCAATTCACAGCGACAACGGAAAAACAGTCTAACATGTTAATCCTCTCATGCCTCCGCTGCGCCACTCTGATACAACTACAGAACACGGTGCAAACTTCTGAGATTTCGAAGCTCGACCAACACCAGTCACCGACGTGACTCTCAAAACACATATTGCCTCGGATCCTCTCGATCTTCTCAGTCATCTCAAGCATAATTTTCAAGTCTGAGTATAACACTCTCACTCGATTTATTTCAACACAGGAGAGTCCTACACTCCCTATCTCACCAAGCCACATATAGTGCCATTCCGACACTATGATGGTAACCGTTATTATAGGTAACTCAATCAACGATAATTAATCATCCCACGATCCACCTTTATCCAACATACTAATGCTCCACAAATTCTCTAAAGTCTAGATAGTCCTCTTTCATTGTCCATCCCTCTGCGGGTGACAGGCAAAATTCAACCTCATCTTAATACCCGGAGCATCCGCAACTCCCCCAAAATCTCAACATAACTCCCAAATTTCCATCTGATACAATATTCGATATCTCATACAGCTTTGCCACTTCGCCAATATGCATCTCATATATCCTCAACATAGAATAGTCAATCCACTAACAATAATCCAAATTAAAATTATATCTTTCCAATTCTCTGGAAATCTCAACACCAACTCCGCGAAAATACTACCCGGTTTCTACTCTGGAATATTCAACGGCTGCATCAGACTCAACAGTCTCTGATGTTCACTCTTCGAATTCCGACAATTCTAACCAGCATATTCAACCTCAACTACTCCTCCCCTTATCCATGGTCTCCAAAACAATCTACTCAAATTCGGTTACTTCTTCATAGCATCGGGATGGATACTCCATCTACCTCAATGTATTTCTTCACGAGTACTCCTACTCCCCTCAACAACATCTGGTACACATACCCTATCATAACACATCATGGTACTATTTTCACAAACCCGACAATCCACTCTTCGACTCTAATTTATCAATTTCAACTAATTCACTACT